GTTCTAAAATCGACAGGATCCATACGTATACTGAATGTTAGATGTGTTCCGTGGTCGTTATTAACTTGAGATAACTCTTTCGCCATATAATTGTTAATATCTTCTATTTCATAGCATCGGTCTTCCAAACAAAATTCAAAAATGCGAAAGTCTTCTCTGTTTTTCTTTGGAGGAATTGTTTGTAATTTCAACCGGTTATTAATTGGATTTATAATATTTGGAAATGAATTGAACGTTTGCAAAGATAACAAAGCTATTTCCGAATCCTCGTAAACCTTTAGAGATGGAAAATAATTTGCCGACAATACAGTTGAATTTCCAGTAAAACTTAATGTAATAGATTCATGCATTGTAAAAATTCAAGACATAAATTACCACAGTTAAATGTATTGAAGTCTTGATAGTTGGAATAGTTGTATACTATTTTGAACTGTCTGAAATAATGTTGTAATTCAATTGGTGGTGACAAATCACCAAAGCTATCAAAATATACAACTTTGTCCTTATTTTTATAAAACGCTACCCAATGGCTTCCGTCGCCTGAAGATATATCCAAGTTTAATATACCACATTCAATAGCGTGCGGTTTTTTAGGTAAGTTATCACGTGAAAAGACTCCACGGAAATGATTGATTTTCACTTTCCAACATATTTTATAATATCTTGAGACGAAAGCGGTCTGTCAGGTAGCGTGATCATCAGTTTTTTTTTTTTTAACTTATTCTTGTTTGATTTCAAACTACTACCTTTTTTTCTTTTTGAATTTTGAACCGCATTATACACACTAGCACCTCCAGACATCAAACTACCAAGTGCTGACAATCCCGCAAATATAGGTATTAAGGGGATTACACCTCCTGACTGTCTTGGTGCTAAAATCAACCTTTTACCACCGTTCTTTTTATTTAAGATTCTTTTTTTCTTCGCTGCTAGTATACCATTTGTTTCTATAGCACTTTTCCGTTTACAACCCATACCTATTTTTCTTTTAGTTTTCATTGCGTTTGTTACTGCGTACGCAACTAATTTCTCTTTTCTAGGAGTATCTTTTGCTTTAAATCTTTCCCAAGCACGATTTTCTAACACTTTATCAGCTTTATGTCTATCGTCTAAATTTTTACTCGTTGCATACACAATATCGTGATCACGACAAGCAGCATCCAATGGGTTTATTCCTTTATCACCACGATCTAGTCTCTTTTTTAATTTCGTGCCAGGACCACAATACTGATATCCTGAAACATGGGCTTCGAACGGGAGACTATTTATAAGGGAGTTTACAAATCCTTTACCAGTCTTGTTTGAATTGTACTTCCGAGTTGACCACGCCATCTATAACTAACTATAAATTGGAAAATTCTAGAGTATTTATTAGAAAATAATATGGATTTGATTGAACAGAAAGATAAATTGGATGTACTAAATGTAGATGTTCAGGTAGTAAAAAAACCATCAAGACACGGTTCGTTATTACCCGATACTATACGTGCTATACTAGTTGGTCCCAGTGGCTCAGAAAAACAAATATAATGTATAATCTGATCACACATGCAAACGGGTTAAGATTTGAAAATATTTATTTATACTCGAAAACCTCTAATCAGGAAAATTATGTTTTATTGAAAAAAATAATAGATGATATAAAAGGTGCTAATTTTTTCATATTTACAAGCGCTGATATGGTTATAAAACCAAACTTAACAAAGAAAAATTCTATTATAAATTTTGATGATGTGATATGCGGCCCACAATCTGTAATCAGAGAATACTTTAGCATTGGTAGGCATTCAGGTGCCAGCTCCGTATTTTATTTAGCACAGACATATTCTAAAATATCAAAACAGCTTGTAAGAGATAACGCAAACTTTTTAATAATACTGAAACAATATGATACAAATTTACGACATATATTCAACGATCATTCGTCTGCAGATATGGATTTCTCTAAAATTTCTCATTTATGCTGGAATCATAGCTATTATGGGTTTGTTATGGGCTATTATGGGAAATGAAACGTGGTGTTATAGATTCTGAAAACTATTTCCGTGAGGCATTTAAGCCGATAATTGAACCATTGAGTACATATGTTAAACAAAATGTAATATGTAACACACGGTCAACTGAACTAGAAAATAAAGCAGAAACCCCGTGCATTAGTGAAGAAGATAATGATGATGAATTAAATTCATCATATGAAATTTTTTTAAATAACCGTCCTAAATCAACACGTTATGATAAATCTTATTGTATGTATTATGATAAAGATAGTGATTCATATAAAATAGGAAAACATTCTGTTACTTTTAGTCACGGCAAATTACTGTTGCTTAATAAATACTACCAATTTACACCAGGACTATGGTCTTTATTATGTGAGAAGGAACCAAAAAATACAACTATAGCAGATATAGAATCTTATTACAATATTTTGAAAACTAGTGGAGTCCATTTAAAAGCAGAATGAAAACCTAAAACCTCGAGGTACCATAAATGGGTGACTGTTGTAAAACCACTGTATGATCGAATGAAAATGGAGAAAAAACAGTTTAACGAAGAAATAAGTAAAATTAATGAGAATACAACTCCTCGAATTAATTTAAAATCATTTAACAATCATTTATCTAGTTCAAGCGCTAAACGCAGAAAAATAACACAAGAATTTGAACCATTTGATTTTAATCCAGAAGCAAACAGTTCCATGTCTACAAATCCCGTAGTTGAAAAGATGTTTAATTTTACTTCATCACCAAAGACTATGAAAGGTTTTGGTTCATATAAAGATGCCTTACCTCAAACCCAATTAGTTTATTATGACGATCCGAATGAGCTAGTAACTAGATTAAATCTTTTGACATCATCACAATGCTCAATTTCAAGATTTAATGAAAAAATATAAAATTAAACATTACAGTTCATACAGTGTTATTAAATGTGCAATCGCGGAACGCGTGATTCAAAGTCTTAAAAATAACATATATAGACATTTTACTGCTACTGGTACATGGAATTGGTATAATACACTATCAAAAATTACACAAAATTATAATAATACAAAACATACAACAATAAAATGTACACCGAATGAAGCTCGAATGGATACAAACAAAATTGAATTTAATACACAAATAAATGATACATTATATAATAAAAAATTTAAAGTTTAAGACAATGTAAGAATATCTAAGTATAAACATATATTTAGTAAAGGATATACACCAAATTCGATAACGGAAATATGTACAGTTTCAAAAGTTTTACAGGCAAATCCAGTAACTTATTAACTAAAGGATGAATCAGACAATATAATCTTAGGTGGTTTTTATGAATAGGAAATTAAATTAACTGATTTTCCAAACACCTTTCTCATTGAACGTATTGTAAAAAAAGTTGGGAATAAAATGCTTGTTAAATGGTTAGGTTTTGATTCAAGTCAAAATTCATGGATAACATCATGAGATATTTTAAAATAAAGATTTTTTATGTATGATATGTAATACTTTTATAGTAAAATATTTTTTTTTTATTGAAGTCAAAATTAATTATTACACAATGTTATGATCTCCTAATCCTCAATAGCCTGTTTCAAAAAAAAAACATGATGTATCCACAATCGATATAAAAATCACCATCTAGCGGAAAAATTAATCAATGAAAATAAATAATACTTCTGTATTTTAGATTCTGAGCGGAGCGATGAATGTATTGGTTTTACAATGATGTGTGTTTTTATATTTTTATATTTTTGTGTCTGTCATCATGTTTTGGGACAGTAAAAGTGCTTCGATTTTCTTCAATAGTACCTTTTCTGATAGGAAAGTGAATCTAGTTGGTACTTTGGGGGGTCAAAAGTAAACATTTCCCAGGAGTTTTCACAAGCGCCGGGAAAAACAACATAAAAATTAAGGAAAAACGGGAATTTTTACGCAAAATTGGTTTTCCAAAAAATCGATTTTGGTTATTGGTGTAACTCTAAAACAAATGAACATGTATATACATGAAATTTTCACTGGTTGTTAATATTTGCATTTTCTATACACGATAACATTTTCAAAATATTTTGATTTATTTTGAACTGTTTAGGGACATTTTCATTTTCCATTTTTTTTTAGTTTTTTTTCTAAAAATATCAATAAAATTTTATTTGTTGGTTGCGAAAGCTTGAAAATTTAATAGAAGGCTCCTAATATGTTGTTTCAAAGGCAGATGAAAAATATTAAAAATCCTTAGTCACAATTTTTTTTTATAAGTATTTAAAGTTCAAAAATTGACAAAATATGGAAAATGCACGAAAATTAGCAAATTATTTTGAGTTAAGAATTCGTAAAAATTTTTCTTTTTAAATCTAAGATTTGAAAATGAAACACAAGATTCCTTATAAGATTATCTACCTTTATCAATAAAAAAATCTCTACCGGACAGTCAAATTAAATTTTTATGAGCGTTTGAAATTCAAATTTTTATAACATTGGATTTTCACTCGATTTCTCATGTAGGGATTTCCTTATTTTGTTGTAATTCAAAAACGAATAACTGTAGATACATGAAAATTTCACTGAATGTTTATATTAGCATTTCCTATACACCATACAATTTTGAAAATATTTTGAATCTTTTTGAGCTGTTTACGGACATTTTCAGTTTTCAATTCTTTTAGTTTTTTTTTTTATAATTGTCAATAAAATTTTATTTGGTGGGCCAAAAAGTCTGAAAATTTAATACAAGCTTTCTTATATATTGTTACAATATCAGTTGAAAAATTTTAAAAATACATAGGCACGATTTTTTTTTATAAGCATTTAAAGTTGGAATTTTGACAAAATTTATCAAAATCTCGAAAATTATCAATCGTTGGAATTAAAAAATTATAAAATGTTCAGTTTTTATAACAAAGGCGGCTCTCACACCGGAGCAATAGGCAACGAGCAACTATCAATTAACAATAGTCAACAGACAATACGTATTGCCCATAGCTCTCAAATAGAAGCAACGCAGTAGCAACCATGTCATCGTCTGATGAAGACGACGTTTTATTATTCTGGTGGAATTTAAGAAGAAGAAAAATGAAAAATAAAAAACGTAAATATTGGATTAACCCAGCGTTTAAACAGCTTGTAAAATATGGTGCAAATGTCTATGCAGATGAACTTAAACTGCATCCATTGCAGTTCAAAAGCTGTTATAGAATGAGCCCAGATACATTTCAACAACTTTTGAATTTAATTGAACATAGTATAACAAAACGTGATACCAATTACAGAGAAGCTATAAGTGCAGGAGAAAAATTGTTAATAACACTCAGGTAATGTTAAATTTTAATATTTATTTTTATTTAAATGCTATAACCTACTATTCAGTAAAGGTATGGAGGTAATTTTGTACTGTTGTCGGATTATTATTAATTCGTTCGTAGTCTTCTGAATGCAAATTTCCCAACTGTTGAAATCCGACCGTCCCCACGGGTGGCTCAGGACTCAATACTGAATATGAACTTCCGGAGTAGCTGGATGAAGGTCGTTGAACATATGAAATAGTGTTCTGTGTAGGCGAATCGTCCAAAATTGAATCTATAGTATCAAGTGTTCTTCTCTTAAACTGCCTTTTCTGATAATCTGTCATTTTAGATATATCAGGTAACAAGCTTTTGAAAAAATCAAGATCGCTATTATTTTTGTTTGTCTGAGAATCTTTTTTTGAAGTAATATAATCAATGACGCACTTATCAACCTCATCCGTCGATGTTTTCATATTATATAATGCGCGTTTTTTTGTAGTATTCGGAGCAGTAAATTTATCTTGTGACACATCTAGATTCCTTTTTTTTATAACTTTCTTTTGATGTATATTGTGTTTCATCGTGTAAAGATACATCGCTATTGTCTTGATTAATGTTTGTATCTACAATATCAATGTCACTATTTTGCTCGTCCTTATCTTCGGTATCTTCTAAATTGCTACTTTGAGGCTTAACCTTCATGAACGGAAGAATAAACTGCATGACATCTTTCAAATAATAGTCTTTATATCTTTTGTTATTGGCAGCACTTCCTGACGGGGGTTTTTTCATACTTCGTGCAAAAGCTGTTCGTAGATTTTTCCACTTCTCCTTGCATTGCACTTCTGTTAAAATATAATATAACATATTATAATTGTAATATTATCTTATTCTAAATTTATATTAATTTTTATACTGAACAATTTGTTACAGATATTTGGCTACAGGATGTAGTTTTGTTGCTTTGTCACATATATTCATGAGAGGGGACAATACAATAGGAATAATAGTGAAAGAGTGCAGTGCAGCTATCTGGAGACTTCTTCAACCTTTATACATGCCTGTTCCAAATGAAGAAACATGGAAATCGATAGCAAAACGATACTACGAATTATGGGACCTACCCAATTGTATTGGTTCTGTAGATGGCAAGCATTGTCGTATAAAAAAATTTGACAAAACCGGTTCGCTTCATTACAATTACAAAAGTTTTTTTTCCGTGGTGCTCATGGCATGCGCGGACGCCGATGGAATTTTTACAACCATTGATGTAGGAGAAGCAGGCAGGTTTAGTGATGGTGCTGTTTTTAGAGCTTCTAATCTTGGGAAACTGTTGTTAGATACAGATAAACTTCATATCCCAAAACCAACACCAATGCCTAATGATGCTTTTGATTTTCCTTTCTATATGGTAGGAGATGAAGCATTTCCTCTCAAAATAAATCTCATGCGGCCGTATCCTAAGCGAGTTCTTGATAATGAAAAACGAATATTCAACTATAGAATGTCACGTGGACGAAAAAGCGTCGAATGCGCCTTTGGAATGTTAGCGTCAAAATTTGAAATATTTCAGAGACCAATAATGTGCCACGAAGATACTGCAATCAAAGTTATAAAAGCAGCATGTGTTCTACACAATTTTATTAAAATGGTCGAGGGTCATTTTTCAGTTCCCCAAATCAGTAAAAATCAGGAAAATCAATTTACAAATCGAGAGATGTCACCATCAACCAATAACCATTGTAGTAATAAATCTGCCCATGAATTAAGAGATTATTTAAAAAAGTATTTTTTGAAACCAGAAAATGCATTGCCTTGACAAGGAAATTACACTTTATAAATTTATTAACTATTACTATAATACTACTATAACTTTAAAATAAATAAAATATACATACCTGATAATTTAAATTCTTTTCCAATTGCATTCCAAGCCTTTTCAGTCGCGTTTCTTTTACTGTGATCATCCCGAGTGAAATCATAAATACATGGATACTGTTCAACGTATTCTACAAATTTTATGTTCAACGTGGATTCATCACACATTTTTAATGATTTTTGAAATTTTTAAGAGTTGAAAATTTAAAACAAAGATTCTCTTAAATAATTCATACTGTAACCAAAAAATCTAAAAAATATATAAACACACTTATTTTTTACAGACATTTTAATTTCAAATTTAGACAAAATTTCATATTTAAACCAAGAATTACGATTTTAGTTATTTTGTTGTGATTGTATAATATTATTCGTGGGTACTTGAAATTTCTAAAGTAATCTACTATATATATTTATGATAGTATCAGGGTTTTTTGTTGGTGTATAACGCGTTATAAGTACCTAATGGATATTGTGATATGATTAATTTGGAATTCATTATAGGTCAATTTTTTTTAATACCATAGATATGTATATAATATGTCTCATACCTAGAAGGACATACCGTCTCCGCTCAGAATCGTTTTTCTTATACAATGATATTATATCATTGAATTCAAATTTAATACCATCCATTATACAATGACCCACTTGTAACCTACTGTACAGCAGAGCGACACCCACTTGCCCACCTTTTTATCCTATAATTTTAGTAGAGTATTTATTTTATCTTTAACAATTATTTAATAAAAAAGTTTATATTCAACTTGTATAGCATGGAATCTATATTCTTAATCAAACAATTTTTAGAAATTTTTTTTTTTAAATCTTTCAATTTCAATTAATTCTATTGATTCTGATGGTTAACGGTTTGAAATAATTTTCCTTATCTTTCCGTAATACAACTGTATTACATAAAATATATAAGCGGTAATGTTATAAATTATTATATGATAAATATGATAATATCGAACAACTCTATTTCAATTATTTCGTTTTTTCTTATTTAATAATATTCTTCTTTAATATAGTATGTGGTAACATTGATTTTAGAATATACTAAAATCAATATTGGTAATAATATATTATTAATTAATAGTTATTTTATTAAGGGGTCTCTATAGACAACTTCTTATACACCCGTTAGTATAAATTTATTCTATTTTTAGCTAAATGTAATCTTTATACGTTTTTATTATTATTATTATTTTGTATAGTTAAGCTAACCAGTCATAAAATATGTTATTAACATAATATTTAATTAAAGTTTCTTAAGTTTTAAAACTTAAAATATTGATAATAATAATCAGTCAAAGAGACTATGTCTTTTAGTATGTTTTCATTTTCTTTTTCATTTTTTAACTTTATGATATAGTTCAAGGGTCGGGAACCTTTTCGTAGGAAAGAGCCATTCTTTTAAAAAAATACAAAACTATAATATCCAGGGAGCCGCACAGCCTGTGTGGCACAGGTTTGAACAACCTTTTTTTAGTACCTAGGCAATAAAATAAAAACATAATATGTCTTAAATTTAGAAAATATAGAAAAACTTTATTTCATTAATTCATTATTATTATTATTATTGTTTATACAAATATAATATTATTTAATTAAACACAATAAAACACAAAATAACGTATCTATTTAATATTAGTGGGATTTTTGATACTGAATTTCTCCAAACAGCTTATTCAATTCTGGAGAGTAATCTGTATTTTTAAACTTCAAACAAGCATCAAGGCTGATATCATTCAGTTGATTTCTTAATTTATTTTTAATAAAGTTCATATTTGAAAATGTTTGCTCACAAATGTAAGTAGATCCAAAAATGGTCAAAATTCCGAAAGCGACCATTTTTAATTGGCTGAAACTTTCGGGAATACTGTTCCATACGTCAAATATAACTTGCTCTTCTTTTTGACATTTAGCGAGTTCCGTCCATTTATGGTAGACATCTCGAAGTTTATAGAAATACCTCTATTGGAAAAAAAGCACAAGAAAAAAATACCGAACAACGTCGCACTGTTTGAATTGACCTGACGAGGACCGTGCTCACGTATCGACTAATATAATTTTGTATTCTACCGAATAATGATAGTCGAGTTTAATAGAACACACACATACATATTATAAACACAATAAAACTAACTATGCGATAAGATTAATAAATAATTATTGAGAAATTCAGAATATTATTATCGTTATAATAAAGTATAATATAATTTATATTTTACGGATATACCTATATTGATAATTATCCAAAGAGCCGCAGGTTGCATGTTAAAGAGCCGCATGCGGCTCCGGAGCCGCAGGTTCCCGACCCCTGATATAGTTACTATTTTTATATTTTCAAAAATAAATAAAAGTGTGATAATATCAGTGATTGATTTTTGAATACACTATATAATATAATTCACTTTTTATTCAATTAACTTTTTTTGTTGCTTTTTATACTGATCCATTAAGTTTATAGTGACCATAAGCTAAAGTATTTATTCCGTCATCCATTATATAACGTTTATCATCGTTTGCACTTAGAACAAGTTTGTTCATTGTTTTCGAATGAATAACACGTTTATTTGATTGGATAAAATTAATTTTTCTATGAGTTTGTTCATCCTTGAGAGTTCTATGGTTTATAAAAGCGTTTAGTATATCCTTATAATTATTAAATTGCATGTGATTTTGAATTATATATTTCTTTACACCTTTTGCCTTTTTCAAATTTGTTAGCATTAGCATGTGCTAACGAATCTTGAATTTTTTTTATATAACAGTAATGTGATGTTTCGTTATTATTAAACAAAAATAGATCGAAATGTTTTTTTCTTTCAGTATCACATATATACAGAGGAAAAATATGTTCTTTGTCATTTAAACTAAAAAGATTAATTGATACATCGTTTACACGTTCAAATTTTTTCATCTGACTGATTGGTGTTGGAAAATCAATACATTTAAAATCTAAACCACTGTTTTTCTGTCATTTTAAAATATTTTTTATTTAAAATAAGTTTTATTCAAACGATTATCAAACTTAGATAGTATTGAATATTTAAAACATTTACCATCGTTATTTTTTCACATTTATAATTGCTCTTTAAATTTTCATATATACAGGTAAATCTTTATACGTTCATCCCCTGAGGGGATTCACTATATTAATTCTCAATTGTAATACATCTATACTCTTAAGAGACCACCCAGATCCTTTCGCTAAAAACTGGTCTTGCTCGGATAATAATTTATCGAACATCCTATTTAATAATTTATTGAAATCGGATGAATTACATGCAAGTGTATTAGAAGTTTTGAATGCTATGTCCTGAACGTCTTGAGTAATTATTCGTTCGTATATACTATCCACATGTAAATTAAATTTTATAGATGATTGTAAACATGATTGTTTTAACTTTAAAATTAATTTATCTCTAACATAGTTAAAAAAAACCTGTAGTCTATAAAATCTAAAGTATTCTTAATCACAAATGTTTTAGAAAATGATCGTTCCCCGCTACAGTTGGACACCATCAAAACTAAATATATACACAACACTACTTCTGCATTAGGAAATGTACACTGCAAATTATTTTCTTCAATAATCCTACATAAAAACATTTCCCATTGCTCATTATCTTTACGCGTTTCTATATAAGTTCTGATAAAAGAACTGAACTGTATCAATTCATTACCAAGTGAAGATTCTAAATCATTGGGGTAAATGCTAACAAGATAATTTGCAGCAGATTGTAGCTCAGAAGTTTCTAATTTTTCAAATTTATTTAAAAAACCAAAACGTTGACAAATTGTTTTGTAAGCAGCTATTCTTTCAGTTAATGATACCACCAATTGATCAATTACTGAAATAAAACTTTCTGATCTAAATTTTTCTTTTGGTGATAACTGAGTTGCGGCTGTTTGATTTATTATTTAACGAATTGAGCCTCACATTTTTTTTCCGATAACGAATTGGCGCATAATCTTTTAAT